AGAATGATGCTGGGGTGGCCATGAGCGTGCCACAGCACTCCAACCTGGGCAACAGAGTAAGACTCCAACTCAGAAAAAAAAGAGAGATTCTAGTCAAGTTTTCCCACATATCCTCTTGCTAACTGTTTAGCTGATTCTACTGGAGGTTATAAAACAATACATAAAGCATGCAAGTTGCCTTTGCAACTTACTATTTGGCTGAAGGGAAAATGTTCATGAAATATTAAAGAAGGTCACAGTATAATGTGCAGTAATTTAGATTAAGGACGATAAAATTTAGGAGTATTCGGGGAAGGGGAGAGTTCAAAAGGTACTAAGGATATAAGAGAAGACAGAGACCTTTCTGGGACTGAAAGAACTGGTTAAAGTGTTCTTGTTTTAGCCAGTTCTTTCAGTCCCAGAAAGGTCTCTGTCTTCTCTTATATCCTTAGTACCTTTTGAACTCTCCCCTTCCCCGAATACTCCTAAATTTTATCGTCCTTAATCTAAATTACTGCACATTATACTGTGACCTTCTTTAATATTTCATGAACATTTTCCCTTCAGCCAAATAGTAAGTTGCAAAGGCAACTTGCATGCTTTATGTATTGTTTTATAACCTCCAGTAGAATCAGCTAAACAGTTAGCAAGAGGATATGTGGGAAAACTTGACTAGAATCTCTCTTTTTTTTCTGAGTTGGAGTCTTACTCTGTTGCCCAGGTTGGAGTGCTGTGGCACGCTCATGGCCACCCCAGCATCATTCTGCAGTTCTGCCTCAGCCTTCCAAGTAGCTGGAACTACAGGTGCATGCTACTATACCTGGCTAATTTTTTATGTATTATAGAGACACGGTCTCACCAAGTTGCCGGGGCCGGTCATGAACCCGTGGGCTCAGGTCATCCACTCACCTTGGCCTCCCAAAGTGCCAGGATTATAGGCTGAGCCACCAAGCCCGGCTGACTAGAATCTCTTAACATCTAGACAAGGTCAGAACAACTTCCTGAACTCTGGCTGAAAACGAACATGTTTGATGTTCTAGGAACTGTTGACCTTCAAGGACATATCTGTGGACTTCACCCAGGAGGAGTGGGGGCAACTAGCCCCTGCTCACCGGAATCTGTACCGGGAGGTGATGCTGGAGAACTATGGGAACCTGGTCTCAGTGGGTAAGGATTGGTTCCCCTTGAAAATAGAGTCTGTGCATTGGAAGAAAATCTTTCTTTCTAAACTGGGTGCTTTGCTTGGGCCTTGGGTTCTGTAATAGAGGTTTCTAGTTCCTTCTGAATACCAAGTCAGGATTTCTGTGATCTTTTCTGCACTGGTCTTTCTATTCCACTCTATTTTCTTTAGAAGGTCTGTATACCAAAGGACTTTTGTGTGTGTGTGTAAGACAAGGTCTTGCTCTGTCACCCAGGCAAAAGTTTGACAGTAGTTCACTGCAGCCTCCTGGGCTTGAGCAATCCTCCCACCTCAGCCTCCTGAGTAGCTGGGACTACAGGCACATACCACCGTGCCCAGCTAATTTAAAAAAATTTTTTGTAGAGACATGTTTTTACTATGTTGCCCAGGCTGGTCTTAAACTCTTGGCTTCAGGCAATCCTTCCACTTCAGCCTCCTAAAGCGCTGGAATTACAGGTGTGATCCAACACGCCCAGCCCCAAAGGACCATTTTAAAATTCTTACAATGACTGTTGACTTCAGTACATACAATTTTTTCTTCCCCGTAAACAGGCTATCAGCTTCCCAAACCTGGTGTGATTTTCCATTTGGAGAAAGGAGAAGATCCATGGTTGAGGGACCGAGATATTTCAGGAGGTCCAAGTTCAGGTAAGAACAAGGCAGGTGGGGCCTTTGTGATGTTGGCCAGAGAATCCCCTCAAAGCCTTCTCCAGGCTGTGGGAAAGACTAAAGCCATCTGAATGGTACACACAAGAAAGCTGATTCTGCCATCTCTCTTACCCCTTTCCCACGCTTGCATCTTCTCATTAGTCTCTCTGGAGTGAAAGAAAAAGAGATGCCTCTCTCATCAGGGTTAGCCTTGTTTATCATTTCTCTTGATTTGACTTTCATGATTTTTACCTCTTTCTCCAGTATTCTAAACCTTACTCTGATCACAGTTTCTTTCCCATGTACATAGGTCTTTCCTCATTAAACGCAGTTCACTTCACTAGATTCTTGGGTCATTTACTCATTGATTTTACTTTCTCTCAATGATTTTATTTTCACTTTTTTCCCCTAAATCTTATTCTGTGATCACAGCTTCAATTGTGATTCTCTTTTTAACTTGGGTAATTTAACTTCTCATGCCAGATAATTTATGACTTTTTGAGAAGTCACCACAGAATTCCTTCTTCCCAAATCCACTGTCTTTTAACAGTCTTCTTTAATGTCTAAGGACAGTAATAATGACAGGTATTTACCAAGCTGGCTTCTCCATGAGTCCTACATTAGCTTTACCTTACAAATGAGGAAAAGGAGGCTGGTAAAGAAATGTGTTCCAGGCAATTAGCTACCACTTGGTGGAGTTAGTCTTTTAATTCTAATTATTCTGACTTCATGTTCGTAAGTTCTTACAACACTATTCTACATGGCAGCGTATACATACAGACCTCACCACCTTGGTATCCTTTCCTTCACCAGCTAGTTTAATAATTTTTGTCTCCTCTATCTCTCTTACTACTTTTCCAGTGCTTTTCATCAATGTCTTTTTAAAATTAAGATACATAATTTCTCTCTAGGTTAGGATAGGCTAAACTATTGCAACAAGTAGACTCCAAAATTTTGTAACAAATGTTGAGCCGTAAATTATCTCAGACAGAATATGAACCTATTTCTTGCTCATATACTGGTCTGGGAAAATTGTTTAGGACAGTTGACAGTTGGTGATTCGGGGCCAGGGCTCCTGCACTTGGGGCTCCTCTGTCCCCTAAGGGTCTCTTCATCATCTGCATTTAGACAGTTGAGAACAGCACAAAGGAGCTCATTTGGGAAAATGTTATCAGCCAGCCTAGGGTGGGGTCATTTGTATCATTTTCATTCTCACTCACTTAACAGGAGAGACCTTTGTGATTTTACTCAAACTAATTCAAGAGAAATTGGGAAATAAAATCTAATTGTATGTCGAAAAATGGGGGAAACCTATTTTAGTAAACAGCAGTCTCAGCCACAATTCCTGAGGAACCTGTGTCTTTTACACTGCTATTCTATTTCTGTATAAACTCCCACAAATACTTTGTGAGGGTTTCAACTATCCCTTCCATAGCTACATTCTCCGTATTTTCATATTTGTCTTATATATATATGAACCTTCTTTCTATGTATCCCTGGCATTTATGGCATCTTTATATATAAGTTCTCAGACTCAGCATGTTCAGAGAAGAGACCATCCTCTCACCTAAGAAAGTTTCTCATCTTAACTTCATCTGTTCTTTCAGTCTCTAGAAATCATGGTATCAGCAAGAATGTACATGTTTTCTACTTTCAGTTTTTCCCTCATTCGCCACAGCTTCTTTTTTGATATTACCTGTTAGATCTACTTCTCTTCATCTGTGTTGATGCAGTGCTAAACCAAGTTTCCATCATTTACAGAGTAGTTAGTATTTTTTCAGAAATTGAGAAACCATTTTCTACCTCTTATATAGTCAAATTATTATGAAGACTGATTAAATCCAGTGAGTATGCAAAGAAAGGCATCTGCATTCCCTGTGTGTACCCACATCCACAACCCAACAATTTGTCTTTAGTAAATCTAATGAAATAGAATGTGTGTATAATGATGTAGATTTTGGTGTGATTTGTAATAGTAAAAAGTTGAAGACAATTGAAATATATTTCAGTAGGGAAAGTCAAATTATGATATGTCCATACACAGCCTGGGCACCAAAGCAAGACCCCATCTCTACAAAATGGAAAAGTTAGCTAGGTGTGGTGGTGCATGCCAGCAGTCCCAGCTACTCAAAAGGCTGAGGCAGGAGGATCACTTGAGCCTAGGAGTTTGAGGCTGCAGTGAGCCATGATCATGTCATTGCACTCCAGCCTGGGCAACAAAGTGAAACCCTCTCTCTCTCAAAAAAAAAAGTTCATACAGTAGAATACAGTGCACTTGTTAGGAAGAGTGAGATAGCTGGGCGTGATGGCTCATGGCTGTAATCCCAGCGACTCAGTAGGCTGGAGCAGGAGGATCACTTGAGGCCAGGAGTTCAAGACCAGTTTGGGCAGCGTAGCAGGACCCCATCTCAAAACACAACAACAACAACAATAATAATAACATTAAAAAAGATAATGAGATAAATCTCAGTGTACAACTATAGAAGGAGGTTCATAAGAGTTAAAAAACAAAACAAAGCAAAATTATATATATACTATGATCCCTTTTTGTTTTTCAGATGTATATTTAAGACCTTGTATACAAGGGAGGAACCAAAAAAACGGAATTTATTTATAAAAAATTTTTGTTTATTCTCTCATGTTTAAATTTCAGTCATCTTCAAAGTACTCTCCATTTCATGCAATATGACTATCAAGACGCTTTGTCCACTGCTCAAAACAGGTTTTAAACTCATCTATTTTGATGCCTTTTGGTGTTTCTGCATTTTTTTGTTCACGTTTTCCACACTGGCAAAACATTTCCCTTGAGGATATTTTTTATCGGGGTTGGAGGGGAGTTACTGGCAGCAAGCTCAGATGAATAGGGAGGGCAAGACATGGTGGTCGTGCTGTTTTTGGTCAAAAACTGCTGAACACTTAGGATGGTGTGGGCAGATGTGCTTGTAAATCACCCATCATGAAATGGGCAAATGTGTTGAAAGAATCTGCAAAAAAATTCACTGAAGCCAAATGCAGCTTTTCACAACAATGCTAGCTGGTACAGTGATACCGATAGGTTCTTAGAACACTTATCTAGCAGGGGACCTACAAGGGGCCCACTCTCCAAAAGATAATTCTAATTTTTGGCAGGTCCTTCTTGTACACAAATGTATACATTCATATGTACATTCTAATGGAAAACTAATGGATATGTTTCAAAATCCTCAGAGACTGGAGGGTATCTCATCCCAGAGAGGGAAATGCTATCCATTTTTAGTCAATACATTTCTAATTATTTAATGTTTGATTCTAATATTTAAAAGTATTTGAGCCAGGTACAGTGGCTCACGCCTGTAATCCCAGCACTATGGGAGGCCAAGGGGAGGGGATTACCTGATCCCAGGGATTCAAGACTAGCTTGGGCAACTTGGTGAGACCTGTCTCTGTAGTCAGTCAAAAAAATTAGCTGGGTGTGGTCACATGTGCCTGTGGTTCCAGCTACTTGGAAGGCTGAGATGAAAGGATTGTCTGAGCCCAGCAGGTTGAGGTTGTGATGGCCATGAGTGTGCCACTACACTCCAGTCTAGATGACAGAGTGAGACTCTCACTCAAAAAAAAAAATTTGAGGTAAGTATTTTTTAAAAATAATTTTTTTTTCTTAAATAAAGAGGATTTTGTCATAGAAATATAGGTTTGAAATGCTATGGTGTTAGAATCCTGTTTTCCTTGATCTTTTTTTTTGAGACACGTAGGCTGGAGTGCAGTGGCATGATTACAACTCACTGCAGCCTCAACCTCCTGGCCTCAAGTGATTCTCTTGCCTCAGCCTCCTAAGTAGCTAGGACTACAGACATGCACCACCACATCCGGCTAATATTTTTAAATTTTTAAAATAGTTTTTGGGTTGGGCATGATGGCTCAGCCTATAATCCCAGCACTTTGGGAGGCTGAGGTGAGAGGATTGCCTGAGCCTGGGGGTTCAAGACCAGCCTGGGCAACTTGGTGAGAACTTGTCTCTACAATAAATTACAAAAACTAGTTGGGCATGGTGGTGTGCATCTGTAGTTACAACTACTTGGAAGGCTGATGTGAAAGGATTGCCTAAGCCCAGCAGGTCGAGGCTGTGGTGGTTGTGAGCATACTGCTGCACTCCAGCCTGGGCAACAAGAGTGAGACTCCAACTCAAAAAAAATAAAATAAAATAGCTTTTTTGTAGATGTGGGATCTCACTATGTTGCCCAGGCTGGTCCTGAACTCCTGGGCTCCAGCAGTCCTCATGCCTTAGTTTCCCAAAGTGCTGAGATGACAGGTGTGAGTCACTGCACCTGGCCCTTGATCTTATCTTTTGATATGTATCCTTAGTCTCTTCTTAGTTTATCTCCTCTTGCAATTCATGTGGATGAGCTCTTCCCAATTTCTTAAAGGCACGTTCCAGTTTTTTTTTTTTTTTTGAGTTGGAGTCTCATGCTTGTCACCTAGGCTAGAATGCAGTGGCACGCTCACAGTCACTGCAGCCGCGACCTGCTGGGTTCATGTGATCCTTCTGCCTCAGTCTTCCAAGTAGCTGGAACTACAGACTCACACCACCACACCTGGCTAGTTTTTGTGATTTTTATTGTAGAGACTAGGACTTACCAAGTTACCCAGGCTGGTCTCAAACCCCTGGACTCAGGCAATCCTCTCGCCTCAGCCTTCCAAAGTGCTGGGATTACAGGCTGAGCCACGGCGCCAGACACCTTCCAAATTTTTAACAACTTCTTTTTTCTGTCTACTTCATTTGCTTTCATATCATCTCTCTAGGTGGTAGGATCACTTTGAAGATAATCCAAGCCTCCTGTACCTAGTTTGTTTGGTATTTTTTTTGTCTGTTTGTTTGTTTGTTTTTGATTTGGAGTCTCACTCTGTGGCCCAGACAGGAGTGCAGTGGCCGCTCCCGGCCACCGCAGCC